TTCGTTTGTTTTTAAATAAAGATTGAATTTTACAAAAAAAAGCTCAGAACTTTTTTGTACACCTAATATATATAATATTATATATATATATATATATATGTAATTCAGACAAGCAAAAAGAGCTATTAGTTAAAATTAAAAATCGAATTATATGTTATTAATTAAAACTTTTTACCTCGTGTTGCTTAATTCTTCACATTTAAAACGATAAGTAATACAAGATGTGTTTAAAAAATATTCAATCTTTGGTCGACAAAAATACATTTATATTATATATATATATATACATACACAATACGTTTACTCTAATCTCCTTCAAAGTAGTCCTTTTGGTAATGCACATACTTCTCCCAGTGGTCCCGTCATTATTGGAAACACTTCCGGAACGCATCTTTTGGAATGATGGTCAGCTGGACCGTCGTGTTTCGCATAATGTCTTCTTGATTCAAATCGGTGATGCATTATCGTGATGGAGCTGCCAAGTGGTCGCTGCCCACAGATCCGGTCGTTTGCGTCGCACAGCATCATGAAGGCGACAAAGGACTTTTTAATAGTACTTCTTGATAGCTCCAGATCACTTGGCAGCAAAAAAAAATCGACTATGAATACCGGCCTGTTTCGCGTCGTGAAATTGGTATTGAATCTTTCCTTGTTTAACACATGTTTCTCTTTCTATAGAAAGTACCAATTTTACGAAATAGGCCGGTGTTCATAGTCGATTCTTGTATTTAAGACTATCTTAAGATGTCATAAGTCAATTCAAGGACTGTATTAACATTTTAAGACATTTTAAACAGTTTTAAAATAAAAACAGACTATGAATATCGCTCCATGTTTAGCGTTTCACAATTGGCAGCCTTTTCCCCTCAGGCAACATTCATAGACAGAGACGACGGAGATTTAGAGAGAGACGATTGCAAATTGAGCACACCATGTTATCTCTTCTATCATGGCAGGAAGGCGAATCACTGTCAATAGACGTGCGACCATTTTTGAACCGCCTATACTACTTTTTTATCTATTTTTGCCCATTGTCCTTAAAGGTCTTCTGCATCATCTCGATCATTTGTGCACAAGATTTGTTAAGTTTAAAGCAAAACTTGCAAATTCGTTGATCAGTTCGCTCCATTTTCAGCGATAACGAAATCCGCCGAACGCAAAAAAGACACTGTAAACAAATACATGCTGTGTGTGATTAGAAATCACGCCGGAAACTGGAGGGACTTTATGAGGAATAACTTATGACCCACAGAAGGCGCTTGAGTGCCATGGCGCGAAATTACGAACGCAGGTCGGATATTTTTCGGACAAACCTCATATACGAGGGCTGTCTGAAAAGTTTCCGACCTCAACGTGAAGATAGCAGCATTGGTAAGTAAAAGCTAGTGAATTTCGTTGTTCATCTGTTAACAGTTACTCACCACAGTTTCAGCCATTTTGGACGCACAGTTGTTATGTAGCAGTCGTTTGAGTGAGTTCATGTTAGTCATTTTGTGAAAATGGACAAAATCGAGTATCGAGCTGTCATTAAATATCTGTTTTTGAAAGGCAATACGCCTACGCAAATCAAAGATGAGTTGGATTCTGTGTACGGGGACTCTGCACCATCATTTACCACAGTGAAATTTTGGGCAGCTGAATTTAAACGTGGCCGTAAGAGCTTGGGAGACGATGAACGTTCGGGACGTCCAAAAACTGCAACTGCCGACGAAAACATCGCCAAAGTTCACCAAATTGTGCTAGACGACCGCCGAATTAAAGTGAGAGAGATAGCAGAGGTTATGAAAATGTCAAAAGAACGTGTTTGTCACATATTACATGAACATTTAGGCATGACAAAGCTGTCCGCGCGTTGGGTGCCGCGTTTGCTCACGTTAGACCAAAAACGTGTTCGAATGAACATTTCCAACGCTCTGTTGGCGCAGTTTAGGCGCAATAAATCCGAGTTTTGGCGCCGATTAATTACTGTAGATGAAACTTGGATACACCATTATGCGCCCGAAACAAAAATACAGTCCAAACAGTGGATTGCAAAGGGGGAACCGGCTCCAAAAAAAGCAAAAACTGCTTTTTCGGCTGGGAAAGTGATGGCGACTGTTTTCTGGGATAGTCATGGAGTTATTTTCATCGATTATCTTCAAAAAGGTAAAACCATTACAGGAGCATACTACGCATCATTACTTGACAAGCTGGAGGCAGAACTTGCGGAAAAACGGCCACATTTGCAGAAAAAGAAAATCCTGTTTCACCAAGACAACGCACCGTCTCACACCTCAGTGGTTGCCATGGCGAAAATCCACGAATTACGGTTTGAACTGCTTGACCATCCGCCTTACTCACCAGATCTAGCCCCAAGCGACTTCTTTTTGTTCCCTCATCTAAAAATTGGGTCGGAGGACAGAGATTTTCGTCAAATGAAGAGGCAATCACCTTCGTGAACAATTATTTTGCAGAGAAAAACGCCAAGTACTATTTGGACGGGTTACAGAGATGGGAGCATCGCTGGGAGAAGTGTGTAGAGTTACAAGGAGACTATGTTGAAAAATAAAAAAAAAATTTCAGAAAAAATGTCTTCTATCTTTGTTAGGTCGGAAACTTTTCAGACAGCCCTCGTATATTACACATTCGTTAAAACTCAACTTGTTTAATTTAAGTTACGGTAATCCAAGCAATCTATAAAACTCTATAAATAATAAGTATAACGAATCGAAGATATACCTTCTAATCGAATCAAATACAGCTTAGTAATATTATCCCAGGAACGCGCATCTAAAATAGTTACAGCCAAGTTGATAATCCGCGGCAGTATAGATAGTCTTGGAGGGGAGCCGAGCGACCATAACATCGACGACAGTCATTCATCTCTTGAGGACCTGCATAGGAAGTATGAAAACGTAATTAGAGACGCAAAGTGAATTTGCGTGCTGAGGCCTTTCGCAACGCATTGCGGGCGGTTTCCGCTGCCATTTAAACCTCCAATTTCCCGAATTTACCACCTTTGTCAACATGCGATGGGCTTGGAAGTGCTCTTTTGCCCTTGAATTTCGGTAGCCTTATCAGGAACATACATGCGCAGTCAATGCTTCCCGCCAATGCTTCTGTTGCTCCTAGCTTCACGACGTATCCGAAGTTTTACTTCCGCATCGTGCTAGAACTCGTACCCAAATACGACGTATATAATATTTCCGTATAGTAATTCGCTCGCGCATATACATTCTGTCAAAAAAGTACCGGGAATTGATCATTTAAAAAGCCCGCTTAAAGGAATTGTCAAAATTCTTTTTGTCGCTAAGTTGGCATAACTGTCCTCTATACTGACGCGGAGCTGGAGTGCCATCTGTCATTTAATGTGATTATCGTGCTCGATTTTATCAGTTCATCTCAAGTATGTTTTGCGATTTTTACAATGAATGAAAAGATCGAACAAAGAATTTGTCTCAAATTTTGTATTGCAAATAGAATTTCGTGTGCCGAATCGCTGAAGATGTTACAGAAGGCTTACGGTGAATCGACTTTATCAAAAACACGTGCATATGAATGGTACAGTGCATTGAAAAGCGGTCGAGATGTGGTGAAAGATTTGCCTCGCTCTGGTCGGCCATCAACGTCTTCAACTGAAGTTAACATCGATAAAGTGAAGGAAATGGTGATTGAAAATCGTCATTTCAGTTTGAGAGAGATAGCCGCTGAACTTACGGTGTCTCACGAATCAATTCGTACCATTTTACGCGATTGTTTGGGCATGGAACGCGTTGCCGCTCGACTAGTTCCGAAAGACCTCAATTTTCTTCAAAAACTCAATCGCGTAAAGGTCGCTGAAGACATGTTAGAACGAGTTAATTCCGACCCCACATTCATAAAACGCATTATAACTGGTGATGAGACATGGGTTTACGAGTTTGATATGCAAACCAGTCAACAAGCTTCGGAATGGCGCCTTCCAACTGAGCCAAAACCGAAAAAACCACGTCAAAGTCGATCAAAAGTCAAAGTGATGTTAACTGTTTTCTTTGATTGTCGCAGTGTTGTGCACTCGGAGTTTTTGCCAGAAGGTCAGACGGTAAATAAAGAATATTATCTGGGCGTTATGCGGCGTTTGAGAGAGCAAATTCGTCGAAAAAGGCCAGATTTGTGGAAAACAAACTCATGGATTTTGCACCATGATAATGCACCATCTCACAAGGCTATCATTGTGAACGAATTTCTGACCAAAAACTCAACAAATATCATCGAACAACCACCGTATTCACCAGATATGGCTCCGGCTGACTTTTTTCTCTTTCCAAAACTCAAATTACCACTTCGGGGCACTCGTTTTCAGTCGATAGAAGACATAAAAGAGAATTCGCGTCGAGAACTGAAGTCGATTTCGGAAAATGCGTTTAAAAAATGTTTTGATGATTGGATTATTCGTTGGCATAAATGTATTATTTCGAAAGGAGCCTACTTTGAAGGCGATACAATAAATTTGAATGAATAATAACTATTTTGTGTTTTATTGACCAATTCCCGGTACTTTTTTGACAGAATGTAAATGGATTAAAGAAGTAGTACCCTTAATGGACGAAGCTCTTAGTGCGCATGTTAAGGAATAAGCTGTCTCACCACACGTAGCTAGCCGTCAAGGACGAAACGCATTTAATCATGAATAAATTTTTAGACACTTTGAAAAAGACCTTCGGTCCGGGCAGAAGCTTAAATTATTATCGCGGCCAGTTGAGCATAGCTTTCAAAAAACCTAATAAGCATATTCTGGATTACATCAATCATATTAACCTGCATGCTGCCATAATAGAGAGCGAATATCGCTGTACGCTGAATATCGCAGAGATCGCTGCCATTGATTCTTACGCACTCGAGGCATTCTTTGAGGGACTACTACTCGAATACAGGACTGAATTAAAAGCTGAAGGATACAATAATTTTTCAGATGTATGTTCAAGGACTATTATAATACATTAACATTTAGAAAGGGAAGCTAGAAGTAGCTACTACGAGCATCATAACTCGCGCGATGATAACACGATATCGCCTAGAATCCTTCAACGTAGCGCCCCACCCTTCTCATTTGCTGCATCTTGCGAAAATACTCCGCCCGGCATCACCAACGATGTCGCTAGGAAAATATGTACGTATTGCAAAAATTTCAGTCGCTTAGTGAATGAATGTCGTAAAAGACAATTCTACTTCAATAATTCTGATAGTAATAATTACAATAAACCAGCATTTACCTTTCAAAAACCTTCCAGGGGCCTTGATCAGCGGTGCGTATTAATTACGCTAACTCTCAATGGCATGAGCTCATGCCACGTGAGAATACTTCTCGCAAATCGCGCGATAAATAATTCGACGTCTTGAGAGCCGAAATAGGAGACAGTTACAGTGTTATCACAAACACAGCGCGACCTCGTGCTCATCAGCGGGGCTTCAAATCGTTTTACAGAATATTGGAAAGAGATAGAGAACATGCAGATACCACGATACAAAATTCTGATATAACA